AACAACAACAACAACAACAACAACAACAACAACTGGTCTAGAAAACAGTGTACTCGAATTTTATAAATAAACTAGTGTAATTTAAAAAACATGATCATTCATGTACATTGTGCTTTATAAGATTAATCACTATTGGTCTATGCCCACCATTACCCTGTCTTTGAGGTCCACAGTGGATCTCTCCTAATTCCTTCACCCACCCCACCCAGGATGGATAAATCTTAAGGCATTATGCTGAGTGAAATAGTCAATGACAAAAGCGCAGATATTGTATGTCTTTTCTTATATAAAAAGACAAGAAAAGGCAAATACACAGAGACCAAATAGGGAAATCACATTAATTGATCAGACAGTGGAACAGCTGATAACTGTGATTGCTATTGAGAAGTCGAATGCCTCTAAATAATTGGATATGTTTACCAAAAAATATTCAAGATATACTTTCCAGATGTGGTGGAAAGCTGACTAGCTATTTTTTGGGTCCTGCCCAAAACATGTTATAAATCACACAGATGGTAAGTTCTGAGCCAGTCATGGGTACTTGTAGTGGGTGGACAAGGGGACTGCAGATGATTGTCAGAGAAGTTTAGCAGCAGCTGTGGGGACGACAGTGGCAGGAAACAAGGGCACAGTGCACAACGATCTCTCTTGTCAGGTCTTTTCCACTTCCTGGGCTCCATTGTGAACTTCAGCCAAGATGCAAACGTGCACTTCAAGTACATCCAAGCTGCCTGCAAGACAGGTCAGATCAAGGAAGTAGAAAGGATTTGCCGGGAGAGTAACAGCTACCACCCTGAGCATGTGAAGAACTTCCTGAAGGTGAGTACAGCCAGGTGTTAGTGCCTTCTGGGCTGGCCACAGTGTCAGGGCAACAGAGCCATCATCCAGGCCATCCAAATGCGGAGAAGCTGAGTGCCTCGTACATCTTTCCTGCCTCCCCAGTGGCAGCTCCCTGCTCTGTGAGATAAAGGTTATTTCCAGGAATCCACCCCTTGTCTTAACATCCCTTTGTGGAAAAAAGAAGCTTGATCCAGCCGGTAAATTTTTTTTTAATTTTTTATTGTGATTTTAACAAAATTTTACAGAAAACTTGGATTTCCATTCATTCATTATTGCACATTTTCCTCCCTCGCCCCCTCCCCAGTTTGCTTTTCTCTTTAAAAAGTTTATTTATTGTTGCACGCGGCCAGTAAATTGAGGATGTTTGAGCAGCAAAGAACAGAAACTTTCTGTTCTTTCCAGTGGGACAACTCTGGCTGAACGTTGAGGTCAGCAGGTTGATATTTGTTCCCACAGTCCTCAGCAACAAGACCATAACTGACACATCATCCCAAATGTGGTCTTTCTAGTCAGCTGAAAGAACAGAAGGGTGCAGAGGCTCAGGTGTGGGGTGTTTTTTTTAATGGATGAGGCTTGAAAGTGGCAAACACCACGTTCATTCACACAGCAGTGGAGAAAAAGAGGTCACACCTAAAAGAACTACAGGGGCCTCTGAGAAATGCAGTTTAGGTATAGGCCCACATAGGGGGAAAAATGGTTGTGAGGGGCTGCTGGCTGTCCTGTGTGGAGGACAACCTACCTGTACCAACAGGTGGACGTGTGCATGCAGGCGGCTGCTCTCCAGCGGACACCTAATGGCTGCTGACTAATTGGGGTCAGATGATGACCATGAAGTGCTTGTCCTAACCCAGCTGTGTGCTGGACAAATTTTTAATGTTATTGCCATATTTAGCTGAGATATTTTTCTTTTTAGCAAAGTACTATATTGTTTAGGGAGCTCTTTTGGCTTATTGGTAAATAGTTATGCTGCCAATGAAAAGGTGGTGGTGGTGGTGGTGGTGGTGATTATGTGCCATCAAGTTTCCTGTGACTTATAGCAACCCTATGTACAGCAGCTCTGAAGCCTGCCCTATCCTGAGCCAGTCTCACTGACTGACACACCTATCCCCATTTCCCCAGTTACTATATCAATCCATCTCATCTCTTCCTCTCCTGCGCTGTCCCTCCACCCTTTCGAGCATGATGTCCTTCTCCAAGGACTGGTCCCTCCTGGCCCATCAAAATCCTAGCCTCCAAAGAGAAACTTGGTTTCACTGTCTCCAAGGCAAACCTATTTGTTTTCTTGCCAGTCCATACTATATTCAAGACTCCTCTCCAGCACCACAACTCAAAGACATCAATTCTTAGTCATTGTCCAGCTCTCTAGCAAGTAATTGTGAAGACCGTGGCCTGGATCAGGCGCATGGTTCAAATCCTCCAAATGCTCCACAGAAGATGGACAATCAACTCCCATGTGATTTACTGCCTCTGAAAACCCACTGGTTCTGACTCAATGGTATATAACACCAACAACATATTGTTTTAAATGACAACATATACACAAGCTCTCATTCTAGGTCTCTCTTGGGATCACTTTGTTCTAGAAGGGGTCTTGTCCCTGCACTGGTTCATGCTCCCTGGGGTCTCACTCACTGAAGTCATCTCTGCCTAACTTGTTTTGTGTTTTTCAACACATAGGAGGCCAAGCTCACAGACCAGCTGCCCCTTATCATCGTGTGTGATCGCTTTAACTTTGTTCAGGACCTTGTCCTTTACCTGTACCGGAATAGCCTGCAGAAGTACATCGACGTCTATGTTCAGAAGGTACAGCTGGGACAGTCATTGCTAGCTTCCCAGGGATGACACCTGACTGCTTCCATAACTGGGTCCATGGTTGAGAAACGCTGTCAGTACCCAAGGCACTGTCTCTGCTCCTCTTAGTAACTGGTGGATGGGTATAAACTATACCCCGAACCAGGATTGTTCCCAGTGGGTCTCCCAAGAGGAGGAAAGCTGGGGACAGAGTTGCCCTATCCCATATGAGTTTGCATATAAGTTACTCAGTATTAACCTTGCTAGTGAAAGGGTGCCCCAGTGGCATAGTGGCAAGAAGTTGTGCTGCAATCCTGAAGGCACGTGGTTCAAGGCCACAAGCTTCTCTGCAGGAGAAGGATGAGGAATTTCTTCCTGTGTGATTAACTGCCTCTGAAAAACCTACTAGAGGTTTAGCTCTGGGTTGCTTCCAACTCTACAGTACACAACAACAGAGCACAAGAAACCCAATCCAAACTCAGTTTGGCAAGAATAAGGCTTTTTTAAGAGGTTCTGCAAAGCCAGATACCCACGGCCAGAGAGAAAAGCAGGCTGCCATGCTTTTCACAGCTCACTAAGTGCTTTTGGGTTTATTATTACTATTATTATTATTAATGATTTTAATAAACATTTACAGAGATTTTGGATTTCCATTCATTCGTTGTTGCACTTTTCTCCCTGCTCACTAAGTGTTTTTATGTCCTTAGCCCAGGAGTCTCTGCCCAGATTCCTCACCGGCTGAGTACTCACCTGGTATATAATCTCTCCCAAGAGTCTCTGAAGTCTTATGATCCCTTTCCATCCTCTTCCTTTTTTTCATTTATTCTGTTTGCTCTGTGGTTTGTCCTGTAAGTTAATAGCTTATGTTTCCCTTGGGCTAACATGTGACTCACTCTGAAAAGGGACTGATTTGAATTCTATGAGGAGCTATAGTGGCCTAGTGGCAAGAAGCTGCGCTGCAATCCAAAGGCACGCAGCTCAAGGCCACTAGCTGCCCCACAGGAGAAGGATGGGCAATCTCCTCCCATGGTGATTAACTGCCTCTGAAAACCTGCCGGAGGGTCAGCTATGGATCGGAGGGTCAGCTGTGGGTCCTTACGGACTTGATGGTACTCAACAACAGTGGTAAGGGAGCTGGTGACCTAGTGGTAAGGAGCTGTGGTGCAATCCCAAAGGCATGCAGTTCGAGGTCACCACTTGCTCCGCAGGAGAAGGATGGGCAATCTCCTCTCACATGATTAAACTGCCTCTGAAAACCAGCTGGAGGGTCAGCTATGAGTCGGTTCTGACTTGACAGTACACAACAACAACAGTGGTAACAGAGGCTGCCTCTGACTTTGAATGCCATTCCAGAGATGGTCCTTTGATGATCTAGAGGCAGGTGCCCCTTCAGGTCATGGTCCTCACTGTCCAGATCCTGGAGATGATGGGTGGTGCTGATCCGTGTCTGCAGCAGCATGACGTCATCACCTTGACTGTTCTAGGTCAACCCTAGTCGAATGCCAGCTGTGGTTGGAGCGCTGTTGGATGTGGATTGTTCTGAGGAAACAATTAAAAACCTAATTACACTGGCTAGAGGACAGTTTTCCACTGAGGAGCTAGTGGCTGAAGTTGAAAAAAGAAACAGGTACGATACCATAGCTGGATGATTTCCCTTGCTTCTCAATTCTAGTGTCCATTGTTAAGCTTCTGCCAGACTCTCTACAATGCCTTTTTGGCTGACTGCCCAGCCCTAGGACTGATTTATGGCTGGTCTTTCTTGTGCCAAACCTTAAATGTAGTGCTGAATGTATTAGTTAATTGACATTAAAGACCTGTGGGGAAAGAACTTCATATTGAAATCAATTTGGAAGCCAGTTCTGTTTTTGTTTCTAGAGCAGCCTGAAGTTAATAAATAGATTGAGAGGTGGGGTTTTTGATTCATTTTGTTTTTTTAAGAAATAGCTTTGATCAAAAAGCTGAGCATATGCACGGCAGTCCCAGAGGTGCGCGGTTCGAATCCACCAGATGCTCTGCTGGAGAAGGAGGGGTACTCTCCTCCTGTACCAGTCAGATCCGATTTGACAGTACACACACACACACACACACACACACACACACACACACACACAAGCTGAACATAGAAATTACATATGGCCCAGCTATTCCACTGCTTGGAATATACCCTGAGAAAATAAGAACTGAGGCACAAGTGGAAACCTGTACACCATTGTTTGTAGCAGTGTTATTCACCGTCGCAAGAACATGGAAACAGCCCAAATGTATAGCCAAGATCTAATGGATTGAGAAATTATGGTCCGTTCATACGATGGACTATCATGCAGCATGCAGGAGCAATGATTTTGTAAATCACTACTTGGGAGGAACTGGAAAGCATTATGCTCAGTGAACTAACTCAGTCCCATAAGGAAAATACTATCTAAGACTATTATTGTAGAAATAGAAAGATAACTAGTAAAATTTGTATGAGGATCCAAGTGGGGGAGGGTAAGAGCAGAGGGGTAAAGATGGAAAGAGGGTTAATCATAGGGCCACACAATTTGATGGGTAAAGGGAGGGGTGAGTAAAGGAAATGGGAAAGATCCAATGTGAAAAAAAATTCACATGAACTTTGTAAGCAAACCAGTCAGTATAAAATAAAAATTTTATTTAAAAAAAAAAAAAGAGATAGCCTGGGAGTGCCCTGGATATTTCTTTTTTAATTTTTATTGTTGTACACACACTCATACATATACACTGTGTTTTGTTCATGTACATAGTGTTTTATACAATCAAATTTTATATAACTCATTACTATTGATTCATGCCTATTTTAGAGCCCTTTTTTTCAAATCTCCATTGAATCTTACCTTCCTTCACTCTCCTCCACCCACTAACCTCTGCTATCCTAGTGATTCCCTCTTCCCTTTTTTCTGCATCCCCTTCTCTCCCTTCCCCTTTTGAACATGCATACATATCTTGCTCAGTTATCCTCCTGTCTTCACAATAGTGACCTTATATTTGTCCTCAAGTGTCTGAATTATTTTACTCAGCTTAATACTCCCTATACTTGGACCAAGAGGCAGTCATCAGAACAGAGCAGGGAGACACTGGATGGTTCAAAATCAAGAAAGGGGTTTGTCAGGGATGTATTTTGTCTCCATACCTTTTCAATCTGTATGCAGAACAGATCATCCGAGACACTGGGCTGTACGAGGAGGAATGGGGCATCAGGACTGGCAGAAGAATCATCAACAACCTGCGTTATGCGAATGACACAACCCTGCTCACTGAAACTGAAGAGGACCAGAAGCGCTTGCTTCAGAAGGTCAAGGACTGCAGTCTTCAATATGGATTGAAGCTTAGCATCAAGAAAACAAAGATTCTCACCACTGGGCCAATTGGCAGCATCATTAAGGATGGTGAAGAAATTGAGATAGTTTTAGTTTACTTGGTTCCACAGTCAACACTCTTGGTAACAGCAGCCAGGAAATCAGGAGATTATTGCATTGGGAAAGTCAGCTGTGAGGGACCTTTCAAGAGTACTGAAGAGCAACGACGTCAGGCTGGAGACTAAGGTGCACCTGATCCAGGCTATAGTCTTCGCAATTACATGCTATGCCTCGGAGAGTTGGACAATGAATAGGGATGATAGAAAGAAAGCCTTTGAGCTGTGGTGCTGGAGAAGAGTATTGAATATACCATGGACTGCTAGGAAAACAAACAGGTTTGTCCTGGGGAGAGTGTAGCCGCAATGCTCCTTGGAGTCAAGGATTCTGAAGCTTTGTCTGACACTTTGAGCATGTTGCAAGGAGGGACTGGTCCTTGGAGAGGGACATCATGTTTGGGAGAGTGGAGGGACAGCGCAGGAGAGGAAGACCCTCGATGAGATGGATCTATTCTGTGAGTGGAGTGGTGGGAATGAGTGTGTTTGAGACAGCGAGGTTGGCACAGGACAGAGCAGAGTTTAGGGCTCTTGTACGTAGTGTCGCTATGAGGCACAAGTGACTGGATGGCACATAACAACAACAATACTCCCTAGACTCTTTCATGTAATACTGTATCTAAAGAAATCTTTGTTCCTTAGTGCTGCACCGTATTCACTTGTGTGGATGTCCGACAATTTCTCAATCCCTTTTCTTGTTGATGGGCACTTGGGTGTCATGACTTTTACACACTCTTCTTCTTTCCAAGGCTAAAATTGTTACTACCGTGGTTGGAGTCCCAGATCCAGGATGGCTGTGAGGAGCCTGCCATTTACAATGTTCTGGCCAAAATATACATCGACAACAACAACAGCCCAGAGCGCTTCTTGAGAGAGAACACCTTCTACGACAGCAGTGTGGTGGGTCGGTACTGTGAGAAGCGGGACCCATATCTGGCCTGCATTGCTTATGAGAGGGGACACTGCGACAGTGAGTTCATCCAGGTGAGCAAGCGATAGAACTTACCTGCTGGGTGTTGCTTTGGCCTTTTGTATACAAGTGAGTTCTGTGCTCTCTTGAGCCTGATATTGGTGCATGGGTCCCCTTTCCATACAGTGGACTTCCTTACAATCCTATACTTTGTGCCTGACCTCCTCATGGTGTTGGAGGAAAGCACTGAAAATCCCATGGACTGCCAAAAGAACAAACAGCTATGCCTTAGAGAAAGTGTAACCAGAGTGCTCTTTGGAGCAAGGATGGAGAAGCTTCATCTCACATACTTGGGAAATGTTGCTAGAAGAAGATAGTCCTTGGAAAGGACATCATGCTTGGAAATCCAAGGAGAGTCAAGGAAAGAGGAATCACACACACACACACACACACACACACACACACACACACACACACACACTCCAACTCACTACCTGCAAGACATTTCTAACACATACCAGCCCTACATCATGCTTCCAGATCCAAGCAGGAGGAGACCACCCATCTTTCTAGCCAGTCAAAAGTAATAACCCCTCAGGGGTTCCCATGAACCAAAGTCAGAAGACTTCACTGCTACATTCCTGTCAACGACATAAAGTTCGCTAGTCAACACTGCATTGTTGTTGCTGTTATGTGCGTTCAAGTTGCTTGTGACTCGTAATTACCCTATGTACAAGAGCCCTAAACCCTGCTCTATCCTGTGCCAACCTCACTGTCTCCGACACACCTACTCCCGTTACCCCAATCACTGAATCAATCCATCTTCCTCTTCCTCTCTTGCGCTGACCCTCCACTCTACCAAACATGATTTCCTTTCTCCAAAAAATGGTCCTTCCTTGCAATACACCCAAAGTATGTCAGATGAAGCTTCAGAATGCCTACCTCCAAGGAGCAGCCCAGTTTTGCCCTTTCCAGGACAAACCTGTTTGTTCTCCTAGCAGTCCATGGTATGTTCAACACTCTTTTTTTTCTATATTTTATTAATTTTCATAAACATTTACAGAGATTTTGGGTTTCCATTCATTCATTGTTGCACTATTCTCTCTACCCTCCTCCCAGTTTGTTCTTGT